AAAAAAGACAAGACAAACTCTAACTNTAAACCCGAACAGATGGAACTCGACCTATGTATCTTGTCCATTACACTGTCACCATCCATAGCTAGCTAAGCCTTAACTGTTAAACTTTAAGAGTATATGATGGGGACAATTCCATACAAGTTATGCTTCATTTCAAAAAATCTTCTTGACAGGCTAAAACAATACATTCACATCTGTAATGTTTGCATTATAACCTTCCATCCCATCCCATTCCAAACCTTCGTTTGCGAAGCCTAGCCACGATAATGCATGTGTGTATGCATGTGTGTGTATGTGTGTGTGTGTGTGTATGTGTGTGTGTGTGTGTATGTGTGTGCGTATGTGTGTGTGCGTATGTGTATGTGTGTGCGTGTGCATATTTGTATGTGTATGTGTGTGTGTGCACGTGCATGTGCGCATATGTGTGTGTCTGCAGGATTGCAGTATCATTATTAGCATTATCAGCAACATTCAATGCTATCAAATCATAATATTAATGAATTATTGACTAAAGATTTTTCTTTCCACTTTCTCCCTCTCTTTTTTCTCTGCTTTTTTACCTCTCTCCCTCTTTCCCTCCTTCCTTCTCTCCTTCTCTTTCCATTTCTCTTAATATTTCAGAACGATCCTCCAGAAAGAAAAGGAAAGAGAGAGAGAGAGAGAGGCAAGTCCTAAACTTCATCATCATTCTCCTAAACTCATCTTCTTGAAGATGGTGACTATCCGAGGTCATCAGACCAACACGCTTACAACTTTTGCAACAATATTGCTATCCATCCTTCTTACAATTATTGCTTTTTTCAATGAACAAATAATTGTTTCAGCTACTGAACAAAATCATTTTACAAGGTTATTAATTCCATTATTTAATTTCTATTATTATTTGGAAAAAAAAGCAATTTTTTCAATATTTTTCAATTTAATCTCAATAATTTACTATATTTTCTTTAATTTAACAAAAATTTTATATCTTTTTTATTTGTTTAAAAAAAAAATTTGCCAAATTTGTTCCAAATTTCAATCGATTTTTTTCCCTCTTTTTCTTTAAGATCCCCTTATTATCATTATTATTATTTTTTGCCTTAATGAAAATGGAACATTATGTTTATACACTGTTCTGTGAAATTATTTGTATATTAATTTATTAAAGTCGATTGTTTTCATCAATATCATCACTGGACAGTATAAATACAATAAGAAAAATGAGTTCAATTATTAACACGTAAATGATATATGGATTAAAATTTAGAATAAAATATGAAAAGAGCATCAAATTCTTAATTAGATATTTGCAACAAATGATTCTGTCAATAACGTCAATTAAAAGCTAAATGTTTTTGTGAAGAAATTAGAAAAAATTTCTGAAAAAAAAACTAAAAGAAAATTTGGGAAAAAATAAATTAATTCCAAAAATTTGACAAAAATTAATCGTGATTACTTCAGACAAATCGATCAAATTCAAATCTTTTCTTTCTTTCGTTTTAGAATAGATACATGACAACTGACTTTTTTAAGTTAAAGTTTGTTTTTACCGAAATTTCGTTTTTCTTAAATTATTGACGATTTTTTCTTCTTTTTTTCCAAGAACCATTTAACTTTTCATCAGTCATGATGAAATTATTTGTCGTAAACATGACAAAAATTGCATTTCTATAATGACTAATAATAATAATAATTAATAATAACAATAATAATAATAATAATAATAATAAT